ACTTCGTTGAATAAACATGAGCACTGCACGTTTCAAAATCATAACACGGCGCGGGTGCAGGGGCGTAGCCATCATTTCAGAAGTGAGGGGGACAGAAATGTTATATATATATATATATATATATAACATTTCTGTCCCCCTCACTTCTGAAATGATGGCTACGCCCCTGCACCCGCGCCGTGTTATGATTTTGAAACGTGCAGTGCTCATGTTTATTCAACGAAGTCAAACGGCACAAATAAATCAATGTATGGGAAACTGGTAATGTATATCGAAATATCGGAAATGTATTTAAAAATCATATCACCGTTATTGAAAAAAATTATATTGCGATACATAATGATATTGAATTATTGTCCAGCCCTAACTATACGGCAGCTGAGTCTCCTACTAGAGCCTGGGACTGGCTACTGCTGAAGACCTCACGACACGCTAAACGACATGATACAAGACACGATTAGAAACACTGCATGGGTTTCAGAGTTGTTCAAATAAAGTGTTACCATATCGCTTATCAATATCAGTTCATCGTCTTTGTATTTTGTATATTTTTGCATTATCACTTTCAATTAAGACTGCAAGCTCACAACTTGGGTAAAAAACATCATTTTTTGGGTCATGATGCTGTATATTCAGTAAGAGTGCATACACTGTCACAACATTTTAGTACAATTAAGCACTAATTGAACTGAAAGTCATGAAAATGTTTTATATGTATTTAAAAAATGGAACCCGTTGTGAAATAGAACAGCACAGGTTCTGGATTCCCAGCCCTAACCAGTTCAGGGACTCAGCTGTAGTTCTGCTGGACATCCAGCCATGCTGTATGAAGCAGAACAAATGAAGCAAACAGCTTTGGCATTTCAGTGAAATACACATTTGCCCTTTCTTTGAGAGGACTTGAGGGCGGCCAGCAGCGTCAGATCTGGAGCTGTGAACCGCTGAAGTCCAGATACTTGAGGGACGTCTCCGTGCAGAAAGCAGTCCTGTTCTTATTTCCAAAGCCATCGGGACACATCTGGGCCGGGCTGATTAATCTAGTCCCACGAGTTCTCACAGCTCTCTGTGGAGCTTAATGTGCCACCAGGTTTGCTTGTAGTAAGGCAATTACTCGCTGTACTAAACCCAGAAAAAACAACAGAGAGGTGGCACACATCCCCACTTGCTACATATTTGTTAAAAAAAAGTTGTGATACATTGCAAATATAGTAACAGCCAAAGGAGACATTTAGACAAAATGCTCATTTACTACATAAATATTACAGACACAAAACATTATTAAGCAAATTCATTAAGTAGCTTAATATATTTTAGCACGAATTAAACACTATATTGACAAATCAGCATCAGATTGGATCTGAAGATTGCAGAAAACACCCTGGCCTTTAAAGCCCGGGATACACTGCACGATTTTTGGCTGTCCCAGACGAAAGATTGCCATTGTGAAGCAATAGTGGCGATTTCTGTGATCGTGGCTCTTAATCGCTGGTCCTATGTCATACAGTGAGAGAGGTTCAACGACGGGCGTTTTCCTGGTCTTGCGACCAAAGATAGTCTACGATAGTTTTCTGGCAGTGTCAGAAATTCAGCATGATCATCGCACAGTGTGTTTGCAGTTATGACCACGTTTACTGACCAACCAGTAAGAATGCGACATGAAATCAACGCGACATGGCGCTAAAACATAAAACTGCTTACCTCAAGCTCTTATTCCTTCCTCTTTCGCCGCTTCCACTTTTTTTCAGCACACATAAAAACTACAACTGTCAAAGTGTGATTCATTATGCTCTTTTTGTTTACCACTAGCGCATGCTAATGACGTTTTATTCTTCTATAGAAACGTGCGTCGTAGCCTACGAGTCAATAGGTGTCATCATCGTACAGTCTACATGCATGTCGTACCCAAGTTTATTAGATCCACGTCACACAGTGTGACCAGCAATGATCTTATAGGATTGCTAAAATCGTGCAGTGTGTAGAAGGCTTAAAACAACAAACCGGGGATGTGCTTGCTTTAACTTTTTAATGCTTGACTAATACAAAATCCAATCTGGCATTGAAGAGGACACAGCAGATTTTGCGCCGTGTTCACTTACATTCATAAGCATGTAAACACTGGAGCTTGCACTGATCCTATCCATCAACCTGCTAAACACAAGTCTAACAGAATACAACATAATACAACAAAACGTTTCAAATCTTAAAAGTGTTATCTAGAGTTGTCATACTGTTTTCGTATGTTTTAAGTCAACAACTAAAAAAAAGTGTTCAATTGTAATTTATGTTACATGGATTGTAATGCGTGAAGTCATGTGTGAAAAACAGCAACCCAATCTCATGAGAAAACTGAACTATTTTATGAGCTGGGAATTTTGTATGAACTTGAACAATGTAATACATAATAATTCATGTAACTCAACCCTCAGTGGGCTGTATGCAGATTGTACGAAAATGAAATAAATTCGCAACCAATTTGCCAAAACGGAAAATAGTTACAAACTACTATGTAAAATACTACAGTAAAATCCTGAGTACCATATACTCCATTCTATTATAAAAATACTATAAAATATTGTATAAAAAAATACTAAGTAGAAAGTATGAACTACTTTTAATTAATATGCAGTGAATATATATATAGTACTGTATTTAACACTCCAAAGAGAAAGGAAAAATTGAAATCGCATCATATGACCCCTTTAAGACATGATTTATGAAAATGTTATCATTAAATAACATTAAGTAAAAAGTACTGTATGAATCCCCCTATAATTTAAAGGTAGAAAGGGGCCCCATCACATTTGTTTCTGTGTTTTTGTTATGTTTTGTTTTGTTAAAATTGTCTGATATGGGTTTTTCAATGGGACAATGTTAAATGCAATGTTACAATGAGCATGACAGAATCACTTGCTACCCTTGAATGTGTAAAGCATCCCGCCACTCTTTTAACTTCACCATCATGATGATGTTCCCAGATGAACTCCGGGTTTTAAATAGATAACACAGGATGTGGTTTGGGTCATTTGGACAAACTGCATCATGTGTAGCACAGGAACTCATTGGGCAAAGAGGTACCCTAAGAGATACGCTGATTTTCTATATTACGTTCAACAACAGCTATAATTATGTAATGCAGCATTTATAACTGATAATAACAGATAATAATTGAAAACTGAATAACTGAAAACTGATAATAGCGGATAATAATTGTGACTAACTTCATTCAAAATCCTGAATATGCATCTTTTTACAACCAAATGGCACTCATGGTCATTACAACAAACTCAAATTTGCATTGATTTGACTGTAATGAATACAAAAGGGCTTTTGAGACCACCGACTGCTACAGATTTCAAAAAGCTTCCATGCAATTAACACAGGCTTTTAAAAAACATGCTCCATCCTCATTTTGAAACCAAAACGAGACGAATTTTCAGTAAATATATGCAAAGGTGCACTTAAATGATATTAATGCAAAATAATGAGACAAAATGGCATGTTGACGGCATATATCAGAAAAAGACAGATATTGAAATGAAGCACTAAAGATTTTTTATGCCCCGCATTTGCAATGCTTTAACTTTAGTGGGTTATATGACACCCAAAACATGTTAGCCAACTGTGATTTTCTGTGTATATAAACCAAACTAAACACATAAAGAAATGTGCCTATATAAACACATACTACGTTTTTCAGCATCACAATACTGCATGATGATTTGTTGTGACCTGCTTTACCAAACATGCACATTAATCCGGTCAACTATTGATGTTTTCTGTGTTCATATAGACACTTGCAAACATAAATGTCCATAACGGTCCTTTAAAATTAGCATATATGTAGGTTTCCATGTGTCATAATACGTTCCCAGAACTCACCATCACAGCTCTGAATGCATGAGTTTTGTTTTGACCTCCTTAAGCATAACATGCGCAAGTTAAAGCCCATGTTGCATGCACAGAAAAGCATGCAATCAAATAAATGCATAGTGTTTGATCAATTCTGAAGCTTTATTTACACACATGAACAATAGTATTAGGTTTGATGTACCTCGGAACACAGCTCGGAGATGAGCGGTCAATCTCCCACGTTGCAAACAAATTCATTGGCACAGGCATGATGGGACCCAAACCCGCCGCACCCGAGCCCGAACCCACAGCTCCGGCCATGGCTGATCCTCCGGGCGCAGCGGGTGCGGGAGCGGGTGCACCGACACCCGGGTTCATGAAGGCGGCCCGGACCCCTCCTCTCTCCACAGCCGCGGCCATCATCGAACGCACGTTCAAGCTGGACTGGGATGGTTGAGGACTTCACTTCTCATGCACACGGTCCGGACGGCTTTCTGCTGCTGCTCATCTCTCACATACACAGATTTGCGATGGTCAGAGGCGGAGCTTCAAAAGAAAATGTGGAGCAGATGCGATCTGCGGTCGGTCGATAGGCGGCGCTGAATCACGGGTTCCATTTCCAGTTCAGTAGGCCACTCGCTAACGAGCCGTTCTTTTGAGTGATTCAGTCGAACCGATTCGCGAACCGTTCGTAACTGTACTGTTTATAAGAGAGAACATCTGTTTTTTTAATAAACCTATAAGGTCACTCACATGTTTGAACTTATTACCATAAACAACTCAACATTTGACAATAGAATTAAGAAAATATGGACACGGTAACATTTGTAGGAAAAAAACACAATTAGACTAATCAAATTGAAAACAACAACAATAACAACAACATAATAAATTCTAAAAGCTGTATGTCACATAATGCATGTGAATACTACATCGAATTCTCAGCTCATGAATATTAATGTGTTCTATTCCAATAGCGCTTGTCTTTTTCTTAAAAACCAGTGGTTTTTCTGCCACAGAAACCTGGCCTTCATCTGTTGTGCTGTGGGCTAGGTTAAACTGTGCTTGTGTGCAGTGTCAGGAAAAATAATAATAATCAGAGAGGGCCAGCGAGGTTAGCCTTGTCCTCCAATAATCAAGCAACTGTGCCTTAATTTTAGAATTTAAACAGTGTCATGTTAAAAGTGGAGTAATTTATACTTGTGGCACAATGACTCATATTGTGCATCATGAACAGACCCTGGCATTTTGCTTACATGTTTGTGATAAGGTGAGATGCATCACATATGGTCTAGTTCACAGAGAAGAGTAATGAGTTGCAAATTATTGCTTTAGCTTTGACTTCCCAGACAAATTACTCTTCCATTACATGCATATTAATGCTGCAGAATGTTATTTTACTATTAACATTCACATACTGAAGGAACTGTAGCAGGAATGTGTGATCCAGTGATATTTGTAGATATATTAATATCACTACTTTTATGTGACTTTTTGACTCATACACTGTATTTATGACCATCACGCAAAGTGATGGGTAAACCCAATACCTTCTTATAGGCCCCTAATCATGTGTGTGTGTGTGTGTGTGTGTTTGTGTGTGCATGTGTGTGCATGTGTGTGTTTGTGTGTGTTTGTTTGTTTGTTTGTTTGTTTGTTCTGTAATAAATGGTAGGGATGTAAATGATGGGTTAAATGTGGTGTGTTTGAGAGCTAACGGGGTGTGTGTGCAGCCACAGCTCCTTAGCGGTTAAGAAAAGTGAAATGATAAGGATACGTAAACCATCACTCTGACACAGAACCTATTTAATGAGGTGGTCATTTTGTGTACAAGTTAGCAACAGGTTAACTAAGGTTAACTCATATTGTAGCATGCTCTACTGCTCCATCTGAGTCACATGCATCATTCTGCGTCTAATCTCACTTTTTGACTGTCCATGAACCTAGTATTGGGAGCCCATTCATTAAATTGCACATTTTGGACGTCTCCCTCATCTAACACACTTCGTTCAACTCATCAGCTCATTAGTAGAGACTGCAAGACCTGTGCTGTGTTGAAACATTAGTCCACTAATATAGTCCAGCTGAAGGAGTGAATGAAAACGAGTGAGTGAATTCGGACACTGAGTGCGACGGAAGGGCTGCCACTTTTGCATAATTTGTGCTTGCCGTTTAATAATCATTTGAAACTTACAGTAAACTGGCAGCTCCGGTTGTAATTAACAGGTTTATTTCGAACTCTGTAATGGAAACTTGGAGGTATAAACCTCCATTAAACTATTTAATAATCAATTAAAAAGAAATGTATACCAGTATGATATTATGCTGTACTCACATTAGACCAGCAGTTCAGAAAATGGAGCTGCAGGCAAGAGATCTTCTGGCGAGATGGGGGAAATCATTCCGTATTATGGGATTGAATGAGTGCACTTGATAACATTCAGTATGGTTTCTGTGGTAACTTGGCATGAAAAATCACACTTAAGGCAGGACTGGAGTATGGTCATTTACTAATCACTATTAACGCATGCAAGGTACACAACACAGCAGCACACAACGTTACTCTGCAATCTCTGGTGATTTCCCCCCAACATCTGTATATGAACCCCCCCCCTAGCGGTAACAACGGGAACTGCTAGAATTGTACTCAGTCTACTACATCTCTCCCACCTTCAATACCACGACTGAGGTGCCCTTGAGCAAGGCACCGAACCCCCAACTGCTCCCCGGGCGCCGCAGCAAAAAGTGGCTGCCCGCTGCTCCGGGTGTGTGTTCACGGTGTGTGTGTGCACTTTGGATGGGATAAATGCAGAGCACTAATTCCGAGTATGTCACATCACTCACTTACACAGCATCACCCACTGAAAAGGTCAGCAGGTCTACGCTGTTGTCATGTTCTTCTTTCTGTTTCAACTGTTTCTTTTGTACTTTGGTTGCCAGGTCCGGTAGAAGCAAATCAAAAGTCGATCTTAATCGTCTGGACATAAACATTTCAGCAGGAGACAAACCAGTCGTGGTTTGTGGAGTAATCCTGTAACTAATCAACAACCTACTCACTCTTGTCTCCAAGGTTTCTCCTTGCATTTTCTTATGACCAGTTTTGAAAGTCTGCACTGCTCTTTCCACTAACCCATTCGAGGAAGGGTGGAAGGGTGCTGTTCTGATGTGCTGAATTCCATTCTTTTTCATGAATGATGCAAAATCTGCACTTGTAAAACAAGGTCCATTGTCTGATACCAACATCCGAGGCAGTCCAAATACACTGAAACTCTGTCTCAGTTTTTCTATAGTGGTTTGGGAGGTGGCTGTAGTTGTGGGGTAAACATCCAACCACTTAGAATGAGAGTCCACAACAATCAGATACATCTTCCCTTGGTACGAATCAGCATAGTCAACATATATTCTGGACCAGGGAGTTGTTGGCCACTCCCATGGATGTAAAGGAGCAACTGCGGGTGCCTTCATGTACTGTTGACACACTTAACACAACTGAGCCTCTTTTTCCACGTCTCTGTCCATATTGGGCCACCAGAAATAAGATCTGGCTAAACTTTTCATTTTTGAAACACCAGTGGAGTAGTTTCAACAAAATTTCTCGTTCCTGTACTGGAACAACAACTCTCGCTCCCCACAATACACAGCCATCCCTGACACTTGGCTCCGTTCTCCTCTGATAAAAAGGTTGAAACTCAGGTTCCAGCACTGGTGACCAACCACTCAGGATGTATTCATGAACTCTGGACATCATGATATCCCGGGTCCAGCATCTAATTTGAGGCGTATCCACAGGTGCGTCCCCCAATATGTCCAGCATTAGTACAATTTCAGACCTCTTCTCATCTGTTTCCTCATCTTTGATGGGTAGCCTGCTTAAAGTATCGGCACAAACATCGGCTTTGCCAGGCCTGAAAACGTCTCTAGATTATGCATGTAACCATGGTTTCCCGAGGGAACAAGACGCTGCATTGAAATGCTTTGGGAACGCCATCAGCGTGACCACGCTCTGAATCACATGTGTAATCAGTTCAATGGATGGGCGTTCCCCTTCAGGAACTCGAGCTGCATCGAAACGCCATGGGAACGAGTATGCCCACGCCGCCAGACTTACAAATACCTGCCTAGTCTGAAAGAGCACAGCTAAGGTGAGAGAAAAGGAGCCAGGAGTGGTGCAGAATGCAGGTAGGAACCTGACAAAGTGCGGGGTGGACATCCCGCAGCGTCCCGAGGGCAAACTTCTGGAGGAGTGAGCCTTGACCCCCAAAGGAGAGGGGAGATCATATGACTCAAGGCTATGGAATAGCATCCTGATCCACCACTTAGCATAAGCTTCTCTGGCCGGAGGCCTCAGCCTCAGCGCACTGCAGAGGAAACGTGTAACCAGGGGGTGTCTGCCCACTGACTGGCCACCGAGAGGAGCATGGAGAACCTTAGCGGTTAAGAAAAGTGAAATGATAAGGATACGTAAACCATCACTCTGACACAGAACCTATTTAATGAGGTGGTCATTTTGTGTACAAGTTAGCAACAGGTTAACTAAGGTTAACTCATATTGTAGCATGCTCTACTGCTCCATCTGAGTCACATGCATCATTCTGCGTCTAATCTCACTTTTTGACTGTCCATGAACCTAGTATTGGGAGCCCATTCATTAAATTGCACATTTTGGACGTCTCCCTCATCTAACACACTTCGTTCAACTCATCAGCTCATTAGTAGAGACTGCAAGACCTGTGCTGTGTTGAAACATTAGTCCACTAATATAGTCCAGCTGAAGGAGTGAATGAAAACGAGTGAGTGAATTCGGACACTGAGTGCGACGGAAGGGCTGCCACTTTTGCATAATTTGTGCTTGCCGTTTAATAATCATTTGAAACTTACAGTAAACTGGCAGCTCCGGTTGTAATTAACAGGTTTATTTCGAACTCTGTAATGGAAACTTGGAGGTATAATCCTCCATTAAACTATTTAATAATCAATTAAAAAGAAATGTATACCAGTATGATATTATGCTGTACTCACATTAGACCAGCAGTTCAGAAAATGGAGCTGCAGGCAAGAGATCTTCTGGCGAGATGGGGGAAATCATTCCGTATTATGGGATTGAATGAGTGCACTTGATAACATTCAGTATGGTTTCTGTGGTAACTTGGCATGAAAAATCACACTTAAGGCAGGACTGGAGTATGGTCATTTACTAATCACTATTAACGCATGCAAGGTACACAACACAGCAGCACACAACGTTACTCTGCAATCTCTGGTGATTTCCCCCCAACATCTGTATATGAACCCCCCCCC